AACCCTAAGGATCGTGAACGGATGTTTCATCGGAAGGGGGTACCTTACCCCAGTGACAGGACTAGGGATAGCGTAGGGGGTAAGCAAAACCAACCATAAGGATCGAAAAAGCACACTGGATCAATGAATCTTGAGTCATAGCCTGCAGCCGGAATCAAATAGCATTAATCTTACCCATCATTGTGAAGACTTGTTACGTTCTACATTCTCCATGCTCACACGTGTAAAATTCCGCCTGTCATCTCTTTGAGAACAGATTTATTTACACCCCCAATCCTATCCATATTAATACTATTTCATACATAATACGCATGATGGACAAAGCTAATGATGGCGCTATCTTTTTTCTATATTTTTTCATAAACAACTGATAACTGATATTGATGAACCCAAAGTATATGGATAGGCACAATTTGAATGACACAATTAGGAATTTGGGAAATATAGCTTAATCCTAACTTATTCATTTGTGGGTAATCAACAGAGGGAAAAAGGGCTCCATAAATTTTTATGATAAAACATATTACATTAAATCTCCCAAAGGTATAAGGAAATAGGATAACATTATCGAAATAGATGTTTCATGGAAAGATCTTTTATCAGTTATAGAAAATGTACAAATGATGTTAAATTACTTGATGTCTAATAAAAACATATCCATCGCATTATCTATGAGATGAACTGTGTGAAACCTTGTTGTTTGTATATTGGGAAAGAGTTTGGGACCAACGTATAACGTCTTCTGAATACAAAAATTACCTAAATTGACATTTATCAAACGCTCTACTTGGCAGCTACTCTGGTGCTGTTTTACATCACATCATATAAGCATATACTCCGAAACGTTGTGTTCCTTATAATAAAGAAGCTGACATCCATAAACTCTCCTCCTTATATATTCATGTATCAAGAAAATCAAATTATTTTAACATTTGACCGACGAAGATTCTCTGACTGATATATTTTGAATAGATAAATTAATGGAACCAGAAAAATACAATAAGACGGTTTGACAGAAAGTGGAAAAAACATGGCAAATGAACTGCACAGTTAATTCTTATTTCTCTTTAGGATGTAATCACTTCTCACTACTGTGTTGTAACGCCAGTTACAAGAAGTGTTACTTCATCAAATTGTCATCAGCTATCGATTGCACCTTAGACGTGTATTAAATAAGATCAATGTCATATTCCGATATTTTCAATAGTGACATGGAACTTCATTTCATCTCAAATGTCCAACATTATAACGTTTATTTCCGCCGTATGGTCTCGTTCGAAACGATGCCTATTCACAAATTATCTTGCCCAGCGCAATTGTGTCGCAAAATATGCCGAAGGCCCGTGTTCGATTCTTCATGTGGGTGAAACCCATTGTGTGAAACCCATTTCTGGTACCCCTAGACGTGGGATACCATACTCACCCCCTATTGTCAAACATTGCAAGGATACATATTAACACCAGTCATGTGAACTTGGAGATAAAATAATAGCTAAACACAAACATTCGTTTCGGAAACATATGTTTTACATGCTTAGGTCATGGTTTTAACCAAATATATTTAATGAAACTGGGAAAGGCAGGACAAAGTTTGTGAGGAAAATATATATGGATTAACAACCTCTTTTTCACAATATGTTCATACATATATCATGTCCTTATTTAGTACTCCAACTTCTAAATGCCTCTCAAAGAAGTTAATACAAAGTATGTAAAGATAAAGATATAAACATGTACACATCACTTACTTAAACCGTTGGAACTATATTCTGAGTACCGGTATATCATGAGCATGTTTTTTTAATCACTGTTAAATAGTGATGGTATCAGGTGTTTGCAAAAAGGTTACCGTAACTTTTCCCACCTGTGGCACCTGTCAAAAAACACACAAAGGCAATGATATCCCCTCACTTTATTTTTTGGGGAAATGAGTGTTTATCATAACTTACATCAGAGCATAAAAATACATAGTATATAACATAACTTAGATCATCACATAACAATACATAGTGAATATCATAACTAACATCAGTGTATAACAATACATAGTAAATATCGTGACTTGCATTAGTATATAACAATACAAAGTGTATATCATAACTTACATCAGTATATAACAATACATAGCGAATATCATAACGAACATCAGTATACATGTATAAGAATACAAAATGAAAAATAGCTTACATCCATATATATAAGCACATAACAATACATCGTTAATATCATAACGTACATCAGTGTATAACAATACATAGTTAATATCGTAACTTACATCAGTATATAACAATACATAGTAAATATCATAACTTGCATCCATATTAGATCAGCACATAACAATACATCGTGAATATCATAACTTACATCAGTGTATACCAATACAAAGTGAATATCATAACTTACATCCGTGTATAACAATACATAGTGAATATATCAAAACTTACATCAGTGTATATCATAACTTACAACAGTAAGTCCTTCGTCTGGACAATCATAAACGTTTTCTACGTACCCGTATTTCTGTAGCATCTGGGCATTAATCCTTTCTAGCTTTATTCTGGACTCCTAAGCGTCATAAGAAAATCCTTATACAGAGAGATATATTGCAGGGTTCACCATACACCATACGATAAACAAAAATTCTGACAACCAAGCAGGGACTAACTAAATACTGTCAGAGAATACATCATGTGGATCATGTGGATCTTAAAAAAATCAAAAGATTTACTTGAAATTTTAGAATCTTAGACCAGGACTCGACAAGTTTAAAAACCTTTGATTTTTCCACCCTAGTTTTTCCTCAACTGTCAAAATTAATGAAAAAGGGGAATTTCATGTGCTTATCAACACGGCTTTTGTTTCCAAGAAAGAAGTTCGGAAATATACTTTTATCACAACGTTTAATGGATGTGGTCAGTTTTTAAAAATATAAACTCAACGGAGATATATTCAGATACCCAAATATGTGAGTTGTCAAATCGGCGGATTGGGTATTTACACAAGTCGTAGGTATCCCCATGGGTATTAATTATGCCCCTTCCCTAGCTGATGTGTTTCTCTTTCAATGCGTATCGAAGACAGAGTGCCACCCTCAGTTTCAGATTTATAGATGACCTCATTTCTTTCAACAATGCCAAGATAAATGAGTATCCTCACAGATTTGCAAATCGGTGAAACCACCGAGAAACCATAATCAGTGTCCTATCTGGCTCAATTCTTCGAAAATTAATTAATGATGGCAACCTCTGTATGGCTCACTGTATGACAAAAGGGATGATTTCATTTCCCTATTGTGAATTTACCCTTGATGTTGAGAATAATATCAGTTCCAGCTTATTTCCCAGTTGCCTAGGTACCTAAGAACATGTACATAGTTTATTCAAATTTCACATAAAAAAACAGTTTACATTACGCATTTCAATCAAGCTTTCACCATCAAATGTCTCTTCAGGTTTTTCAGAGGATTTTATAAAATATGACACGTTTCTTGTCAATATGATGAGCAATGCTATCTTATTATATGACCTTTACAAGCCATCACTGGCATTTACTTTAATGGATAGGGAGGTCAATGATCGCCGTGTTTAAGATTAGTGTGTGTGTGTGTGTGTGTGTGTGTGTGTGTGTGTGTGTGTGTGTGTGTGTGTGTGTGTGTTATTAATACCGAGCGCAAGATATACCATATTTTAGCGTCTATTGGCATGAGGCGGCCGAGGAGCGAACTCCCGACCTTAGGCTCTCCGGGCAAAAGCTCTAGGCCACGGAGGCGGTCTCGTGTTTTCAGGAATATTGCTGGATGCGACGTTAGACAACAAAGACTTACTTTTATATGGTGTTTGTTTGTTTGTTTTTTAACGCCGCACTCAGCAATATTCCAGCTATATGACGTCGGTCTGTAAATAATCGAGTCTGGACCAGACAATCCAGTGATTGAGATCATAAGCATCGATCCACGCATTGGGACACGATGACATGTATCAACGAAGTCAGTGAGCCTGACTATCCGATCCCGTTAGTTACCTCTTACGAAAAGCATGGTCGCCGTTTACGGCAGCATGCAATTGCTGAAGACCTATTCTTCCCAGGATCTTCACGGGTCAGCAGATGAAGTGGTGTGGAGCAAATATACCATACCATGAAACAGAAGCACACTATGCAAAATGTATTAAAGAAAAAGCAACAGGTAACAATACTAATTGAGTACAGAAACATTTTGCTTGAGAAAAATGTGTTGACGTTACATGACAGCTGCTGTAGTATCTCACACATAGCCTGAGAATATGATATGATACCATTTACACGATTAGTCCATAAATAAGACTTCAAACGAGTCATATTGTGATGGGAGGGTCGTGGCAAAAGAACCTTAATGTAAAATGACCTAGCGGCATATATGGCTATAGAACTTGTAAGGGACCGACTTTTTGATAGTGGGAATCAGGGGGTACAGGGTTATTGTCTGGCTCAAAAATTACACTGTTGCAAGGTGTTCGGGCTCATAGTCTTGATTTTAAGTTATCTGGTTCTGCAGCTGTTGTGGATACAGTGTCTTATGGTTATGAGTTTGTTTTAATTCCCTTTTTGTGTGTTGGAAAAGGCTTTCGGCAATTTGTTTGGGTAGCCTTGTTAGTTAAAACGTTAACTCGTTACACGAAAGCACCACTCTCGATTCTCCACATGGGAACAATTAGTGAAGCCCATTCCTGGTGTCCCCTTGCGCGATATTGGTGGAATATTGCTAAAATCAGGGTACTTCACACACTCTTACCGCTAGATTTAGAGGTATGTGTGCATTATGTATATAATGAATTCATTATTCAAATACTCTGTTGCAGGAATGTTGCAGGCGTTGTCGTGGATGGAGTATACTTGTATGGCATGCGCAGTTCCTGTTCCATTTTGCGTCATTTGGCTACACTGTGCTGGGTCTCGTATTGTGGTATACTGGGCCTGAGCTCCCGTACAATACAGGAGCGTACCTAACAACATGGTCCTACATTATGGTTCTGATCCATTTCTTCATCTCATCCATCATCAGCTCCGTGAACCTGGTCGAGAGTCGAAGGAGTAACAACTCACAGTCGAGACGTCAAACATAGTCTGGTCATTCTGTAATTTAACCTCAAGAAAATTGCAACAGAATATTTTACGACTGTTTCCTTTTAATTGAATGTATTTGAGTTTGTATTAAAAAGTCTACCAAAATCAACCTTGGGGAAAATGGTTAATTCCCGCATCGAAAAAGATAAAAACCAACGAGGAGAATATGGCATCTACGGGCCGCCGTACATCAAGAAGAGCTCGCAAAGGGAGATAATTCGTAGTGATCCTGCTAGTGCATTGGGAAATATTCAGAAACACAACAACGATAACGTCAAACAAGGATATCTGTTTCATCACACTCGAATCAACCTTACATTCCGGATGGTGAAAATGTCACATCAGACCAAGTGGAAAAAAACAACGATGAACGGACAAGACTGACACCTGAAACAGGAAACCACAGCACAAATAGTCTTATGCTGTTTCGCATTGGACTTATCTGGTTTTCCCAAGGATTCACAACTATCGTCTTTGCATATGGTCCCATCGTGACCACAGTATATTATGTCTCGATTTGTTCCAGCGACGTTTATTGCATTGCTTACCACAACATCAACGCACATGCTTTAAATACAGTATTTGTTGTTGTTGACGTCATCGTTACCATACGTATAATTCCCTGTTATTTTGTCGTTTCGTCCCTCCTTTTTGGCATCGGCTCTACAATGTTCACGCTGGCTTTTTGGCACATCTACAACAGTGTTATATATCCAGACGTCCTTGATTGGAATAACTGCGGGACAACCAATGGGATCGTTGTAGGCATGTTGGTGGTTGTAGTAATTTTGCACTGATATATGTTTTCATTCACTCTTGTACTAAAAAAGAATCTTAAAGGATGGTTAGTGAGGGCATGAATGAAAGAGCTCAGGATGCTGATACTCACATACCATAACCTCCCATTTCACACCATACAAACCATTCAAACATCAATTGAGCTGGTAACGACACATGTGTGATATCCCACATATATCAATCTAGGAGGTGTGAATCTGACCCTTTCCAACTTTGTGAACGCTAAACACAGAGAAGTGGCACTTTTCCTTCCGAGATTGGACATCTTACAGTTGAGCAAAGCAATTGTGACGTATGGCCTTTTATATATTTTACAGTGACACAAATAACATATGGCTAAAGCTTTATAAGGAATATTGCCATATGCATAGTTCTTAGTTGGGTCGCAGTATATTAAATGGAAGGCAAAAAATTAAATCACTTTCAAAATATCAATGACACCAGGTGTTCGCGAAAAGGTGACCCGCACTTTGACCCGCCGGTACACACATCACAAACACACCCAAAGGCACGTCAATTAATCACGTGAAAAATCAGTGAACATGTTATAAACAACATAGGGAATCATTTTTTGTCATCGATGCGTAATATTTGGAAATGTCCTACACATGTGTACCGTAAAGCTTTTTGAAACTTGAATATTGCATAACACCTGTTTTATTTGGAATAACACTTTCTTAGTAAAGTACAAGCATAGTCACCTTTTACGGCAAGCATGGGTTGCTGAAAACCTATTCTACCCCGGAATCTTCACGGGTTGGTCAAATGTAACAAATATTATACCTGGGATAACACTTTCTTAGTAAAGTACAGATTCTCGTACTTTTTTGGGTTAAGTCCCGTCCTTAGATATATCCCAAACATAACATTTGTTACATTTGACCACTTTCTAAATGGCATTGTGTATTAACTGAATATCGTAACTTTGATCAAACAACATTTTAGCAAGAGTCGCATGACGCCATTTGAAATCTTCGAAGAAAGTGCAGTTCGATTTTACCTCAAAAGTTGTAGACATGTAGACACCAAACGCTAGGCAGAAGCAGCTAGTACATTGCCCGACATAAAGCGAAAGTTGACTGTTGAAAAGTAGAAATGAAGTGAACATCAAATACAAAATCGTGTATGTGTATTAGATATATTTGTGCATTTATTAAGTTTATTTTGTTCAAAATACATTTCATAATTTTGTTTTTATGTATCTTATTGTATTTGTGTATGCATTATATTTCACATGACCAACCTTTATGATAATTTCATAACTTTTATAGTGTTCTCCATTTTATTAAAACATGCCATCACATCATGATCAGTAGAGTTACGAATGATATGAATATATTGTATGCATATATGTATATATGTGTGGTAGTATGATCATGCATGGGTAACGCAATGTAAATTATTTCCCAAAAGAGTGTCTTTTTGTGTGCATTTAGTCTATTGTTGATATATGATAAATATGCCTAAAAACAAATATCAAGTTCTGTCCAATTTTTATTGGCTGGAATCTGCCAAATAAAAATCGTATAACGTACTCATAAAAAAGACAAGCAATGAAGTAAATGTACGATATTATTTGTCGGTTTTCCCTTGAGATGACGACAGAGAGACAGACGCTGGGTGGATGGATGACAACGTGCTTAAATTGATCAGCAACATCCAGTATCTTGAATAAATTAGAGAAATATTAACTAGGCACCCGTTACGTCCACCATTTTAATTTTTGAAATAAAGCTAATGACAGTACAGTGGACCGTCACTCATCCTGTACGATGTCGAAACCCTTATTATACGTTTTGTTATGTCTTCTCAATATACCACAAGATAGTAGGTTTATTGTACTGAGTGTTGAATATACAGCCTCCTCATGTTCAATGATATAAGGGAGATAACTCTCGCATCTCTACAGTCATGCATAGCCGAGGTAGTATTCTTTAGGCGGTAGAGCACCTAACCATATTCATATATAATATTGATAGCCTTCTTTCTAGGAAAGATAATTGCAAAACTTTAAGAAAATGAAATATAGTAAACATTAACGCATTCTATATGTTCTAGTTAGATATATGTCTCACACATTTAAATGCATTTACACACAAATATGCAATAAAGACTGCAAATAAATTATCATACTTTCCTAAGTGAAAATTAACATTTGACACTTTAAAGCATATGTATTATGCATAATATTATATCGAAAATAAAGCCTAAACACTTGTTCTATGTTACTAGATCAATACTCCTAAACAATACTCTTTTTAAGTGTTTTCTAAAATATAAACATTAAAATGAACATTGCTATAACTCTGAGTAATAATAAACTTCAAAATTGCTGATACAACATCCCTGTTAAATGCTATTCAAATACAATGAAATATGCATTTCAAAGATCAAGTCTATTTGGTGGTTTTGAATGTCTACCACTTTTAGTTTGAACACATGATGGACTAAGAGGGTTAACTGTAATTAGTATTGTCTTGTGACCACAGACTTAGTTTGTTCCTCACCACGTGGTCCTACTGTACAGTATTCCTCCACTTCCTGCTGTCCGCAATCATCGTCTGTACTCACCACGTGGTCCTACTGTACAGTATTCCTCCACTTCCTGCTGTCCGCAATCATCGTCTGTACTCACCACGTGGTCCTACTGTACACTATTCCTCCACTTCCTGCTGTCCGCAATCATTGTCTGTACTCACCACGTGGTCCTACTGTACAGTATTCCTCCACTTCCCGCTGTCCGCAATCATCGTCTGTACTCACCACGTATCTGCATACTGTCAGAGATCTCGTCCAAGTACTGCTATAAAGAACAGGCGAGGGAGCGACGTGTTCTCGAAGCAGGACGGTTCACCGGACACCAACGACATTCTCCACGAAGACACCAGCAACTCTTCTGAGAGCAACACCAGCACTGACACGAGGTGGCGCATTTTGAAACGCGTGACGATTTCAATATCGTGGATATTTGCAAATGTTGTTTTTGTGTTTGTGATTGTTGTGACTGCTGTCTACTACACAGCCATTTGTCCGAAGGATGTTACCTGCGGGAGGTACTTCAATATCAACGTCCACGCTCTCAACACCGTCTTCATCATCGTGGATGTCGTCATCAGTGCACGCCCTGTGCGTATGTGCCACGTAGTTTATCCTTTCATCATTGGATTCATCTATGTCATGTTCAGTGTTTTCTTCTGGGCGTCCGATCACACCCATGTTATTTACCGCGTAGTGTTGAACTGGAACAAACCAGGGATGACTGCTGGTGTTCTGATCGGGGCCAGTATTGGCATTGTATTGCTCCATGCTCTCCACTTGGGAATCTACAAACTTAAACTTTATGTGCACAAAAGAGTGAGTGAGTGAGTGAGTGTGTGAGTGAGTAAGGTTTTAAGCCGCGTTTAGCAATATTCTAGCAATATCACGACGGGGGACACCCGAAATGGGCTTCACACGCTGTGCCAATGTGGGGAATCGAACCCGGATCTTCGGCGTGACGAATGAACGCTTTAACGACCAAGCTACCCAACCGACCCTCTGTCCTATGTTTTAGTGATAAAATGAAACAATGACGATATTAAGAAGGTCCACTTTGTTCCGAAATTGCTTACTCAAACTGTGAATATAACAGCAATAATTATTGTATGAAAACAGATATTTGTACAAAAATGACATTCTTCATGTATATTTTGTTTCGGTTATAAATCTTATAACAGGCGTCATTGTTTGTTTGCATTAAACATCATTATAGCTAAAATGGATAGATATATCATTAAACCGCCCGCATGTTATTATCGGGCAGTTAATGGAAGACCTCGGGCTTCTGCAAATGATAATGCCCTGAAAAATAGCGTAATTAATGATAAATTCTGTGCCCTGTAAATGTCATGCTCACATGTCTGTATTTTGGGCCATTGGCCTTTTACTGAATAAACATATCTGTCTGTCTGAAAAATAGCGTTACCCTTATAGTGTCAGAGAAGGGCGTGGCTGGCTTAGTGGTCTGGGACATGTCAATGAAGAGTTGTGTCTTTAATTGTATCCACTGATCCAAGGTCCGAGTCCATTCTTGATTTGTACCTTCAATAAGAATGAACCGTGGCCTACCTCCAACGGCCCATACCTGTGCTCTTGGGTTTTAAAAAGTTGTTAACGTCAACGGCCCATCTCTTTGGGCTTTCCTGCCATATTGAGGATGTCTGCTTGGAGGTTTCTGTGTCCACTACGCAACTCGAATTGCTGTGTATCGGAAGTTTCGTGGGCAAAGTCACTGAAGCGCTTGTAAAAGGACTTTCACTATCCTGTGTTCTGGTGTCACTTCACCGTTAGCGCTTGGTTGATTCCCGGCCTTCATTACCACCAGGAGACTCGTTTAGGTGTCTGCGGCCTGTGCGTTTAGCGGCTGTTGCGGACACATGAGAAGACTAGTGTCTACTTGAATGTGTGTGATGTTAAACTGGCGTGTTGCACTATCAGGATTGTTTGTTTGAAAATTATTACGTGAACTTCACGAGTTTAGTTGTTTATCTATTCATCATAGCAAACAATGAATATAATAGTCTACGATTCAATACGATATTCAGTCGATGATGAGAGTTCACATTATGTGTGTGGGGATGCCCTATACCAATTAGCAGCGGATCAGTTATTTTATCCACGTCATGGAACATTTAAGGCATATCGTTTTGATCGTTTATTTCAGGATGTTAGAAATAAAAGTCAACGGAAGAAATCCGTACGCCTGTTGTCTTCTTTCTTTGTTGAATGAAATATGTAGTCCCGCCAGATATTGATGTTCATTCTGTTATCATGTTCAGATGTCATCATTAGTCGGACAGCTCCATTATAAGTGAGCACGAACAATAATAATTATGGGATATATCACCCGTCACAAAGAGCACCATGTGTTTCAGGTGGGTGTTTGTAGCAAGTTGAAGAATTCGTTGCATTCTCGCCAAATAATACTTACGCTAATTCGTGGTGTCATCAACTATCATACAACGGAAAGAAATCGAGATTCTCTCATATATGAATTTTTATATATTAGTCACTATTTTATGCCATATTTAGCTGCAATACACACATTAGCATCACAGAAGTCGCACGTGCACGTGTTCTTTGCTGTGAAATTGTGAAACATGTCTGGAACAACCTTGCAAAATGGGTCACAGACAAAACTGGAATAGAAACTAGAATTTTCAATATTGACAATTTTATTAGGATATCAACAAAAACGAAATGATGTATTAAATCATATTGTAACTGTAACAAAGCAAAACATATTCAAATCAAACATTTCCGACTCCATACCAAATTTCTAACACATCAAACAAGAAATAACTCATTTGTATTATATCGACAGAAATATATCATATTCAAAATGTAAATACACACAGTTCATGAACTTTTGGTTACTCTGTCACTACCTATTCGTGCAAACCGACGAACTTGCAAAATCCAACAAAACTGTCTTAGGATCCTGACACTTGAATAGTTTTTGTAAGTTATTTTCCATAGATATACTTTGAAACTTGTATGTATTTAAGATTGCATGTGAACTATATTCTGTAAACTTATTGTTTGTGTACTCCAAAATAGAAATTAATTAATAAAAGAAAGAAAAAATACATACATACAAATCTTAGAAAACAAAATTGATGCAAACATACATACAGAATGAAATATGATACAAGGTAGGAATTAGTGATTAGTACGGTGACAAAATGCTTAATTCTCAGTTCGAGAATGTCAAACAACATATACATGTACTTATACCACATTAAGGGTAACATAATGATTGCGTGTCATTGATGATAGTATATTCTTAATCCTTCACCAAGTGCTTGGCAGAGATATCTTATTATGGAAAGGGTTTTGTCGCATTTATTTTGTGTAAGGTTTGAAAAGCACAGTCGACGTGATTTGACTATTCAACTATTATCTATTGCCTATTACTATTGTTGCTTGACAGTCAAACGGGACCCGTGAAAATTCCGGGGTAGAGTAGGTCTTCAACAACCCATGCTTGACGTAGAAGGCGACTGATGGGATCGGGTGGTCAGGCTCGCTGACTTGGTTGATGCATGTCATCGATCCTAATTGCGTGGATCGATGCTTATGATATGAATCACTGGATTGTCTGGTCCAGACTCGATTATTTACAGACCGCCGCTGGAATATTGCTGAGTGCGTCGTTAATCAACATACCAACCAACCAACCAACGACAGTCAAACGGAGAGCGTCTGCTTCCCTGAATGACTTTGGGTATGTAGATATGAATCAGGAGATACAATGTACTGTGTTTTCAATGAAGAGTACGGTTACCTGCAGATTCAGTCGCGCTAAATTGAATTGAAACCGGCCGCGCTTGTAACTCCTGCCTCGACAGTTTCTAAAGTCAGCATAAGTAGCTTAAGTCGAACTAAGGAAGTTTTGATCCAAATTGATTTCACTGTCGCCATACCAGGTCAAATTGCATTCACTGAGAAAACTAACAGATCCATATGAGAGAAAATCTGTTCACGCAATGTCTATTTTATTCGCTGCTATCACCTATATTTTAGGTTATCAATAAGTATGCAGAATATTGCTGTAAATATAATTAAAACTTTATGTTTTGTATTATGTTATTGATGTTACTGTATAAACACGTTTCACGTGAATATATACCGAAACATGTACCGTTGATGTAAAAGATTAATAAATGCTATTAAAATACTTCGGCGAGTTTCGTGTTAATTAACTCGTACATTTATCAGCTTAATTCTGCAATAATGCATGATGACTCAGACATCACGTGATGTCATTGGCAAATCAATGAAAACACACGTCACCATTACATGTAGACATTCCTGAAAATGACTGCAATGGCCCTACCTTGTAATGCAGCACTGGAGGACCCAAAGGGCTTAAATACTTTCGGAACTTCAATATTTTCAAGACTGGTAAGTCTAATAGTGACTTCTTCATCTATGTTGAATAATACTAAAAGGGGCATATGTACTATGGAGAAGGCTGCTGATGTGTGACAAGCGCTTCCTGATTACCTCTCGCAGGTTTGATGTGTTGTCTAATAAATATATATAATAAATTTTAAACATTTAAACATGAAGTAGATATTAGAGGCCATAATGAACATATTATTGGGGTGTACTGGGCTCTATCTAAATGAAATAGTACTAGTGTACCTGTTAATCAGCACCTGGTTGTTAGCCTTGTTGCGCATGCGCGGTAGCGATTATTGTCAGCAACATATAATTTAATATAATGAGATTGAAAAATCCCTATTACAACATCTGTCACTTGGTAATTATGTTTGCCTCATGGGGGATTTTAATGCCAGAACAAATACTATGTGTGATTACCTATCACTTGATGGTTGACAAATATGTTGATAAATTTGAAATGGATCTACCAGAAATTGAAAATGATTGTAACCCATTGAATATTTTAGATCAACATGCCTACCACATCAGAGGTGCAAACAAGATGAAGATAAGGCCAACATTTTTGGGTTTCAATTAATAGAACTGTGCAGAAATTTAAATCTCTTTATTTGCAATGGTGGAGTTTGATCGGACAAAGCAACAGGCAAAGCAGCATGTAAAAACAAATCTGCAGTGGATTATGTAATTTCATCACCATTATTTTTACCGCTTTATGTTGATTTTAAAAATATTGATTACTCACCATTATATTCAGATGTTCACTGTCCTGTTCATTTTGTTTTAAAATTCCTAAGAAATATCACCAATGGTGGTGTCTACTCGCGGTAAATCCATTAAAAGATAACATCAGTACAGGCAAACCGTTACGGCATGAAATATGAAATAGGAACTCTATTAACATAATATTATTATTTCAACTATTTCACGCCTCACTGAGGGTACACAGTGTACTCGCGAAGCGACGCTGACCCAGATACATGTTGGGTGAACGACCTAGCTTCTGACATAGCGCACCTGCTGGTGGATGCTGTACTCTCAACTTTTGGCGTCAGGAGCATTCGGGCGAATCGTCCTAAACAGAATAATAAAGGAAAAAGATAAACCGTGTTTCAATAATGAGTGCAGGAAAATGCGAAAATGAATTCCATAAAGCTAAAACAAAAAATACAAGTAACACCCTATCAAAAAGAAAGAACTATCAGCAAATGTCAAGAGCTTATAAGAAATGTATGGACAAAAGTATAAGACAATATCATGACAAGACAAATGAGGTATAAGACAAATATATAAGACAAATGAAACAAGTAAACAGTTTCGGGAGCTTAAGAAATACTCACCAAAAGAATATTGGAAGCTACTAAATAAATGCGATATGACCAAATCCGAAAAAATACTCCTGATATTGAAACGTTCTTTGAATTTTATAAAGACCTTAATGATTCCCAAAATAAAGATGCGATACCTGACGATGGTGTAGGAGATCAACAATACGACACAGATGTTTTAAATAAGGTAATTTCAGGTGAAGAAGTCCTTTCCGCATTAAGAACCTTAAAAGAAACAAAGCTACTGGATTAGATTTAGTTTAAAATGATTATTTTATCGAGGCTACAATTCATTTAATACCACTCCTAACGTATTTCTTTAATTTGATACTTCGTTCTGGATTTGAACCAGATTGCTGACTGAAGGGAATAATCAAACCGATATATTAAGAAAAAGGGAGGACACCTAGATCCGAACTCATATAGACCAATAACAATTCTCAGCTGTTTCCCAAAACTCTTCCCAAGTATCCTAAATGCGAGGCACACTGAGTTTGTAAAAATAAATAATATTTTAACTCCAACCCAAGCAGGATTCTCCACAAGTGACAAGGTATTTGTTCTACATGCAATGAGCGAAAATTTAATACAAGCAAACCGAAAACTCTCCTTGCGTCTTTATTGATTTTACAAAAGTGTTCGACGCTGTTTGGAGGGCTGGTCTATGGTATAAGCTGCTAAATTATGGTAAGTATGGTAAATTTCTTAACTTAGAAAAGAACATGTACGATAACATAAAATCCACTATTATTCTACACAATCAAATATCCTCATTCTTCCCATGAAACATTGGAGTGAGACAAGGCGAAAATCTCTCGCCACATTTGTTTTCACTTTTTATTTATTGATATTGAGCTCTTCCTCCTGAAACGAGGAAGTAAAGGTGTTAATTTAGATTATTTAAGCGAAAACAATCTAATATTCTGCCTGCAGTTTATTGTTTTGTTATAGGCAGGTGATGCTGTCTTATTCAGTGAAGACCCTGCAGACCTACAACAATTTTCATAGTTATTGTTCACGATGGAAACTTGTCCAAAACCAAAATTTCATTTTCACCTTTGATCCCTTTATGCATTTGCAAAATTCTCCTGCTATCTTGATATTGATATTTTTATTACATTATGAATTTATATTATATTTTTTCTCATGTACAACCGCTGGTGCGTCTTTCTGAGAAATTGCTAATCAACTGATAAAGAAAACAAAAAAAAGAGGGGGACGAATGGGCGATCTGTTTCGATTTGTCTTCCCTTCACTTAGGGGCGCTAATCCGGACGACCAACCTTTTGGTATGCTCGATACGCGGTACATGTTACCATCACACTAAAGACCAGATAACCAGTCTAGCCTTTACGTCAGCAACGGTGACGCTGGTGTATGGACAGTATATCTTTCCGCCTAAACAATGATCTATCGATTGTCATGTCGTGGAATATATGTTCCGTGATTCAGTGATACAGCAGGGATGACCACGACTGTTTATATTGTAATAGTAACCCAATTGATTCAAAGCGAGGCTGCGGAATCAGGTGATCGTTCATTCCAGGTCAAATTGTTACGTGGCGAAAAAAATCAGTGTTGCCCTTGATGTCTAAAATCATACTTTTAAAATTGAAGTATAGTTTCATTGTATAGGTACCAATATCTGTGTTGTGTAGGCGCCAAACAGACTTTATGCACGCGGTTCAGTACAGCGGCTTGGCGATGCGCGGAATGTGAAGGCCTCAGGCAAAGAACACATTAAATTTCGTCACCGAATGTTGTGAACACAGGTATTTATCAGGTATTCAACTGAGAAACGTGAACATTTCTTTCAAGATATTTTGAAAGAAACAGGCACTGAAAATTATGTCATCAACTGCATATAACATTTGTAAGAATTGATTGGTGCATGGTATATAAAAAAGAATTTATGAATGAATGCTGGCTGTTTACTACCTTGATTTCATTTCAATTATGACAAATAAAAATAGATATTGATATAGCATTTTTATGATTTTGAATATATGAAAATTATATTTTGTTCACACAGAGAAGAGCCCATATATTAGATTAAATATGTATATTCATCGGTACTTATGCCAACTACAACTTTTCATCTTATAAATTAAAAACAACATATCTATACTAATTTTCAATTTCTATAATGATGATTGTATTGATATTGCCCTGTCTACATCCAGTTTGCTTTGACATGATGAGATGATTGTAATAGATGAAGCCCATTCTTAATTTCAGTGGACCTTGCTTTAATGTTTTATCGTCCAAAACTGAATATGTTTCAAATTCCTACACAAACAAATTAATTATGTCATATTTCTTTCTTTTTACGTCAATGGATATCTGCATTGCACAATGTCATAATTGTTTTGTATACGTACCAATTTTCGATTACACACGCATGACTTTTAACAGTCATAATATATATGTACAATCTGCTTTATGTAAAATCAAATGACATCAATAAATGCATTTAGAGATATCAACATAGAATGATTGCAGTGTAAAATTTGCATTTATGTCATTATAAAACTGTTTTATAAAAATAAACTTTTTCATATTTGCTATATAAAATTATCTAATAAATAGATTATATACTACAGATGTCTAAAAGTACCGTTGAATGGAAATCAGGATGTATAACTATAGCAGGATAGTGCATAGGTTGTAAGGCAAATAATTTTTGTAAACATAATATATGTTGTCAAAACAAGATACAACTATTGTGTGAATCTATTTATATATAATTTACATTTTGTGGGCTAGTCAGTATGGTCGGTTATGTGTTGGGACAAATATCTGTAATTTACTACTATTTTAAGAGCATGAGTATCAAAATTATGTAACAAATGATGGATCAATGAATTAACACCTATGATGACTCACAGCACTCAGTATAAATGATGGGGGCAGAATAATATGGGTAAATCTTTTATTTCAAACTATGATTACAGGAGTGTATATTACACCTGACTCATTGATTGGTTTGTTGGATGCATTGTAGATTCTCATTCGGTATATTTCAAAAACATATTGTCAGAATAAAAGAAAATCCATGAAATCAGATGTAAGAAAAAATGTTGATTCAAAAGTATCATTTAAATTTATTTTGTTTATTCTGAAAGTTATTTATTCTTTAATAATTGTTAAAGCCAAGGATGTATGATAATTATAGATCCGTGGTAAAGGCCGTGATGTCCGTGTGCTGCAAATGTAGGCGTAACTCCATATTTTAACAGTGAAGTCCACTAGCTGTCGTAGTGCACATTATCATTTTAAAAGAAGAGTTATTGCTTTTTGGAACAAAAGATCGTCCAATCGTCGTAAAGGTGTGATACCTAACCCACACCCGAACTCACAACACAATCTAAATGTGTAAAGGGGTACCTGAGCCTAAGGGGTGTTTGACTGACAAGAGATACCGAACCCTAAGGATCGTTCACACGAACGGGTGTTTCAAAGGGGTACCTTACCCTATTGGTATGAAAGAAGTTACAAGGGCTGGGGATAGCGTTGGAGGTAACCACAACCAACCATAAGGATCGAAAAAGCACACTGGATCAATGAATCTTGAGACTCAGTGAGTGAGTTTGGTTTTACGCCGCTTTTAGCAATATTCCAGCAATATAGCGGCGGGGGACACCAGAAATAGACTTCACACATTGTACCCAT